GCTGAATTCATCCCAGGGAACCTCTTCGGTCAGGAAAAATGGAAACAAATCCTGGCTAAAGCCCTAGCCATGTATTTTATTCTCTTTCCTTTACAGAGGTGATTGTGGAACAACGAGATGGATTGATGTTCTGGAAAGTGACGAGGGAGATTGGGGCCTGGCTTCACACATCGCAGCCGGTGCCCTCCACTCTGACCTGGAGGCACCACCTCGCAGGCAGGCGGGGTCCAGGCTCCACATCCATTAACTCCTTGGCTTCTCGTTTGAAACTGACAACGTGGTGACATGGGCAACTGTCCACATGGAACAGGACAGGGACCATCAACTCATTCCATACAGGCCACCGGACGGCACCTAGAGGTAATAGTGTTCTGTCAATAGTGACCGGGGTTGGATTCAAATCAGTGATTTAGGGGTGAAAGGCGCTGGATTCTATTATGAAGTGCCCTTAGCTATCTACAGGATGAAAAACCATCCCTTTACCACAGTTAATGATAGAATCTAAAAAGTCGGTCTTGTTCTTTTCTTTTAAAACAATTGAATATAACTTTGGACCGAACTAGGAACGGATCTGCCAGTAGACGGTGGTGGAGGAGATTGGTTAATATGCTTCAACTGAGTATATTAAGTATTGACACATCTAACACAATGCTCTTTCCCCTCCCCTCCCCTCTACTCTCCCTTCCTTCCTTTGTGTTGAGTTTTCTGAGCTGAGTATAAGCATGATTTGTTATTTGAGTCATTTTTTTCCTTCAAGGCCAAATTCAGACTCTCCAATGAGACAAACCTGTTTTCAGGGGTCTGTAATGGATTCACCAAGAATAGGGCATACCACACAGGCAGGGACGCAGATGGATAGTACTTCCCACACAGCGTCTCAAAAGTGTTCATCTCAGGCCAGGTGGAAGAGTCGGACAAACCCTTAACCTTGAGATCCTGAGGGGGTAGGAAGTGGAGAGACCATTCCCCACATCTATTTGTTCTCACCATTTGCTGGAATGAAACACGTGCTTTGCAAACGAAATGCTTACGAAAGGTCAAGGGGTCCATTTTTCTTACTACCCGCTGGCATTTTTTCCCCTTCTTCTCTCTTGCCCATTTGAATCTTAACCTTGTAACTGATGACATGATCTTGGACATAAATGAACAATTCAGCTAGCACTGCTTGCAAATTAAGAGAAAAATAACAGGTAAAGCTGTGGTTCTGTCTTGAAAGACCATACACTAGGACAGTAATAATGTATTAAACTGTGCGTTAGAACTTTACATTCCTGTGTTCTTAAACTCTACAATCCCTTCAATCTGAGGATTTTGAAGCCTGTCAAGTTGGCTTCCCCCATCTTCTGCAAGGTGCTGTGTGGTAAACAGCATTTGTGAACACTCTCATGTTTCAGAAGCATTTGGTGGATCTGGGGGTGAAGACTGGCCCTACAACTCAGCTCTTCTGTTGTCTCTTGCTTTTCAGGTCCATAGTTTCACAGGGCCCCTGAATCAAGTACCATCCTTATGATAGTTTCTAAGCCAGTCTCTGCATGGCTGGGCAGAAAAATCTTTCGCCATGAGAGGATGATTTGGGGAGCACAGCACAGATCAGAGAAGGTGTTGACCTCCAATAGGGCAGGGTATTTAGATATGTCAGCAAGGCTTCCCTGACACACTGTCTTTCCAGAAGAAAGGCCTGAAATCCCACATCGTTTCATCTCTTTAACGTTGATCCTTATCAAACTATAACTGGACCCAAGAAAATGGTCATGTATCTGAATGTAAATGAATGGTCTAAGGAGATAAAACTGGGAGAGGGAGGTTAATGGGGATGAAGGAATTCAGCTGGATATCAGCTGAGAGAAAAGACACAGGGTAAAAGCTCTAAAAGTCTCTTTGGCCAAAGAGAAACATTGGCTTCTGCCCAAACAGACTTGTCCTTTGGCCCTGCCTCCAGGGTCTGGCACACTGGGGCTGTAACGTTCAAGCTGCTGCGTAGGTATTCCTAGAACATTCCGTTGTGTTTCTCTGTCCATTATTTTAATCCCTGGTTAACAACACAGCACAAATGTGAAATGCCCAGCTCGAACTCAGTTCTCTGTCTGCAAAAAGCCGAGAAAGACTTAACAGCACACTCAGACAGAGGCCCCTGAATGACAGAGAATGACTGTTATTTTGGCAGGAGCTAGAGAGAAGGCATTTGTGGTTGGAAGCTATTTGTAGATGGGGGTTCGCTGAGGCCATTTGTGTAAAACAATCCTACCGTGGGGTGCATAGGCTCACTCTTTCTTCTCATCCTTCTCTCAATGTTCTTTCTCCTCATTGATACAGTATAAACAATTTACAAAGCACACACATTCATCCTCTTAGTCTAGCTACTTAGCTTCCCTATACAAATGTGGAGAGATTAAGCAAATAAACATAAATACCCATTTTCCTTCTTGCTTTGTTTCCCCCACAAAGAGACCTGCTCTATCTGTTCAGAGCCAAATGGATGTAATTAGGTGAAGAATCGCTTTCTCTCTGTATCTGAGCAAATATGTTTTGCAGTGCACCAATTTCTCAAGGGCAGTGGGCTGGGACGGCCAGTGACTGCTGGAGGATGGCTGCTGACCTTCAGGCCAGGCCGACTTTAATTTGCAGAACACTGCCGGTCCCACGAGGCTCTTCAGGGCAGGCCACACAATCAACCCGAGCTAGAAGCCTGCTGCCGCCCAGCTGCACTCACCACCTTGCAGGACACGAAGATGTAGCTAACTAGACATCGCTGCTGCACAGACGCTGGGATTATGAATTGGGAAATTGAGCACCGTAAGAATTCAGTCTTTATGCAGGAGCCAGGAGGCCTTGTTGTCTCAGTGGTGTCTCTTTCCAACTGCATTATTTAACAGCAGAGTGTAGATACAGCATCTACACTCCAAGTTTTGATTGCACATCCTGTGTGCTCATTGCAAAAAGTGATGCATTAAGGGAACTTGATAATCAGATCCAAATTATGTGAGCAGTCTGAAAAAGGATGACAGCTCAAAACAATAAAGTTTAACTGGGGTTGCATTTTTTTTTTTTTTTTGTCATGGCAGGCTCTTGCCATCTCTCTATGGTAAAGGAACTAGAATTTCTCTCAGCTGTGATCTGATTATCACAGCTGTCTTAATGATCAGGTTGGGTTTCCAGATGATAAGGCCAGCTGATTGCCGCACAATCAATTGAAATGAGGATAAAAAAATCGGCAGACTGACTGGCAGGGGTGAATTCAGTTATGATACCCAGTTACCTCCTTTGTATGCAGGCTTTGTTTGCATGTGAAAGAGTACACATATTCTGGTACTGAAGTTTATTTTCCACTCGGGAAAATTCTAGACAGACAATAATTGGAGACAGTTATAGCTTTGGGCCATTTTAGACCATTTTCAAAATTTGAAATGCATGCATATAAAGCAGTCTTCAAAATTCATGGAAAATGTATATTATAGAAAAACTATGCATGGATTTTCATTTTTTGCACCAAAATAAACTTATCTTTAAAAAATACTTGAGAGAGAGAGAGAGAGAGAGAGAGAGAAAGAGCGAGAGAACAAGCTCACTTCCATCTATTAGTTTATTCCCTAAAGCCAATGGGTGGAGGGCCACAGTTGGGAGCTGGGAGCACAACTAAGCTCTCCTACGTATGTGGTAGGAACCCAGTGGCTTTTTTAAAGAAGAATTTTATTTATTTATTTGAAAGTAAGAGTAAGACACACAAAGAGAGAGAGAGAGGGAGGAAGAGAGAGAGGGAGAGAGGGAGAAGAAGAGAGAGAGAGGGAGAGAGAGAGAGAGAGAGAGAGCGAGCGAGCTATCTTCCATCTGTGGGTTCACTCCCCAGATGGCCTCAACAGCTAGTACTGGGCAAGGCTGAATCCAGGAGCCAGGAGCTTCATCCAGGTCTCTCACATGGGTGGCAGGGGCCCAAACACTGGGGCCATCAGCTGCTGTTTTTTCCAGGCCATTAGCAGGGCGCTGGATCGGAAGTGGAGCAGCTGGGACATAATCCAAGCAGCCCAACTGCTTAGTCCATCTCTATTACTTCCAGGGTCTGCACTGATAGGGAACTAGAATCAGGAGCTGAAGTTGAGAATTGAACCCGGGTACTCCAGTGTGGAACTCTGACATGTTAACCTCTAAGCTAAACACCTTTCCCTAAACTTCTCCTTTATTTCCTTTTCTCATGAATTTTTGGAATCTCCCTAATGAAATGCCAGTTTGTGAGCTGTGGATTAGCCATGTATCACACACAGTAAATGACAACATCCTTTGCACCCTTGGCAGTTTGTGCTAGATTCTGTGTAGCACTTGCCACACTAAATAAAACAAACAAAAACAACCAGCTCACCAAACAAACAGATCAGAACTAACTTCCCCACTCCAGTGCCATAACTGTGCATGTCGATCTTCCTCCTAGACACTGAGATTCTTTGGGTTAGGAACTGTCTTTTTTATTCTTAATGATGATAATAATAATGGCTAACAGAATACCTACCTGCTCGTGCCCTCTTCTGCAGATAGTAACTCACTCAACTCTCACAACAACCCTATGAAATAGGTGCTTTTAGTAAACCCATTACACAGATGAGGCAAATGAAGAGCAGAGAGATGAAATAACTTGCTCAAGCTCTCAGAGCTTGTTAGTGGTGGATCCAGAATGGAGACTCAGGAAGTCTGGCTTCAGAGTCTCCGTTCTGAAACTTTGTCTCCTCGCTCTCTGACAGATTTGTACTCCAAGAAATATGTGCTGAGTCAATATTGCTCAAAGAAGATGACTGCCAGTCGAGCCTAGCTTACTGCTTTGCAACTAAAAACAGCATTAAGTCTAGGAAGAGTTATATAGTGCAGTGGTCACTTTCAGCACGCTCTTGCTTTCAGGGTAATGTGGACAGGCTGTGGGCCATCAGAATGACAATTCTTGTGTAGTTTTAAGCTTCTAACACTTGTTTTTCTATTACACTTGTTTCATAAATATCGGTTAATCTTTCCTTTCTTACCTGTCCTAGATGCCCAAATGGCCACAATGGCTGGAGATGCGCCCATCGAAGTAAGGAGCTTCTTCCACGTCTCCCACGTGGGAACAGGGGCCCAAAGGCTTGGGGGCCGTCTTCTACTGCTTTCCTAGGCCATAGCAGAGAGCTGGATCAGAAGTGGAACAGCCAGGACTCGAACCAGCGCCCAGATGGGATGTCATCACTGCAGGCTGCGCTTTACCCGCCGCAGCGTCAGCCTCGCCTTTCCTACTTTTAACTTCACTTTTCAGTGACTTGATATGGCCTATAAAACTTTATACAGGGCACTTCTGGGACGGCTGAGCGACCTGAGCGGTGTCGCCTGCGGGAGGCCATTCCTCAGGCAGCGCGGGGTGTGCTGGTCCTGCCGCCCAGGGACTGCTTCCGGGTCAGCTCCTCAGGGTCCCCGCCCACGCCTCGCCTCGCATCCCTGGCCCCGGCGAGCGCGAGCGGCAGCCCTGCGTCCGCGTCAGGGAGCGCAGCGCCTGTGTCCGCTCAGCCTTGCTCCAGAGGCTGTTCCCTGCCGCTGGTCTGCAAGGTGGAGCCTGGAGGAGGGCCGTCAGGCCTGGAAACCCTGATGGAGGTCCCCACAGGCCAATGGCGGAATAAGGGCTTGCCCAGATCTGTCTCTCTGCCCTTGAGGCTGGGCCCCCCCAGCTGACTGGACTCCTTCAGTGTGACCACGTGTGGCAGGCAGCAGGGAGGCAGGCCGAGTCACAGGCATGTGCTACACCCTGACTCCGCTGCTGTGGCTCCGTGCTCACCACAGAGGCCAACCCCCACGGTCCCCTCACTGAACCTGGGATCGGATCGTAGCATTTCCTCCCGTCTGACTCTGTCCACGTGGGACGTCTTTTCCAGCACAGGCACCACGTGGCAGCCAGGCCATTCAGCAGGCAGCTCAGAGCACAGAGCTGACGCCCAAGCTGCTGGCCAGCCATGTAAAAAGAATCACTGCTTCCACTGCCCCCCAACCTACTTGATTATGACCCACAGAGCCAGCTGTTCTGCCCAGATCCTCATCCTAGGAGCTGCTATGTGGCTTCTTCTGGCCTTTGTTTCTAAGCTCACCACATTTGCAGGAGACCTGGCAGATAGAGTGAGTGAGTGAGTGTGTGTGTGTGTGCGCGCGCACCTCTCTCTCTGCCTTTCATTGCTAGAAATGGCTTCCCCCTTGGCTTCTTTGGCTCATTTCTAGGAACCTACTTTCTTGGTTCCTCAGTTTCATTGCTGCCCCTGTCCCTTGTACCTACTTGAATTCCATTTCTCCTTTTTGTGGAACGGGGCTGAGCCTTGAAGGCAATACTTACATGGGTCTCTGTACATTGTTTCAGGCACTAAATCAGAGTATTTCACTTTCACAAGTGTGTGTAGGAGTGCAGGGTGACATATCCTTGTACCTCTGCCTCACAAATGCTTGCAAAATTGGTTTGCATTCTGAAAAAACTGGCTTATGTTCTCATGGGAGCATAGATAGTCAGAGAAGGCCCTAAAAGGTTTGTTCTGTGATTTTCCACTTGCTCTTCCAGATCAGCTCTTCATTTTTCTTTACCCTGGACTTCACTCCAAAGCCTGACCTCCATGTATTGCATCCATGTGGCTTTCTTGCTTGGTGGCATCTGGTGGGATTTGATCAATGAAGAAAATTAGCAGGATATGAGTGGATGGTGAAGAAAGAGCAAAGGGGGGGGGGTGCTATCACTTCAGTTCTTTTTTGTTGGGTTGACAGTCCTTGGTTTTCTTTGTTGAAGCTCATCACTCTTACCAGGAGGGCATTCTAAAGCTATAGCTACAGCTCTCATTCAGGAAATGCTGGCCTCTTCTTCTTCCTTCAGGCCTGGGGGTGTTAGTGATGCTTTATCAGTCCCTTGGTGCTTTCCCTTAAGTTGCCCATGCCTTTTTGAAGAGTTCCTTCACTAAATTTCTAAGTTACTCTGCTTTGATTGATTAAAAATGGCGACTTTCAGCAAGATCAGAGCACTCAGGTACTCCAGACACAGAGCAGAAGGGACTTCTGGATATTACAGGAAATAAAAGAATGCAGCATTGATGGAAGTCATGCATCGTATCAGCTGAACCTTGATAAGTACAGTTTGGATATGAATTTAGTGTGAATCAATTGGAGCCTAGATTTTCCTAAATTAAAACAAAACCTTGCTTTGGTGGCAGGCACCGCTTCGAACAGGTTTTGAGATCTAGTGATAGCTCTTATTTGATTGTCCAGCTGTTCAGTCTTAACTCTAGCTAAAGAGAACAGGCCAAAGACAATGGTGTTTAGTCTGTCTTTAGATACAGTTTACTTTAGATACAGTTACTCCCCAGTGATTGAACTTAGCAAATGACAGTTCATCGTGTTTGGGAGAGAGAGTGGATTCTCTTTCAGTAGTAGATGCATATTTTAAGGAAAGAAATTGTAAAATAAGATCCCTATTTTTTCTTTTCTGGTATTAGGATCTTTTAAAAAAATCCACAAACTGTTAAGAGATCTTAAGAGGTTGAGAGTCAAAATTTCTAGTAGAAGTCTAGATTTGGCTCTCCAAAGACTATTCAAACAGATCAATTTTAAAAAATAATAAATAGCACATCATTGATACATCTCAAGTCTGTTTCAAAGGAATGTGTACAACTGAAGCCATTATTTAGGTGATTTACATAAACCATGATTTTAAGGAATTATTAATGAAGGAATTATCCAGGAAATTTGGTTAATATATATATATTAAAAATATTTATTTATTTATTTATTTACTGAAAAGCAGCATTATAGAGAGACAGAGAGAGAGTGGGATCTCCCACTTGCTGGTTCACTCCCCAAATGGCTCTAATAGCCAATGCTGGGCCAATCCAAAACCAGGAGCCACGAGTTTCTTCTGGGTCTTCCATGTGGGTACAGGGACCCAAATACGTGGGCCATCTTCTGCTCCTTTCCCAGAAGCACCAGTAGGGAGCTGGACTGCAAGTGGAGCAACTGGGGCTCTAACTGGTGCCCATTTGGGATGCCAGCACTGCAGGATGTGGCTTTCCCTGCTATGCCACAGTGCTGGCCCTGGTTAGAATATTTAAAAATATATTTGTTTAAAAATGTGTATTATTATACTAGAAAAGCAGAGAGAGAGAGAGAGAGAGAGAGAGAAATAGAAATATCAATTTTCCATCTGCCAGCTCACTTCCCAAATGTCTGGAACAGTTGGGCCTGGGCCAGGCTGAAGCCAGGAGCCAGGGACTCCATCCAAGTTTCCCATGTGGGTAGCAGCCCCAAGCACTTAAGCCATCATTTGATGCCTCCTAGGATGCATTAGCAGGAAGTGGGGTTGGAAGCAGAGTAGCCTGGATTGGAACCAGCACTCTCATATGGGATGTGGATGTCCCAACTCGTGCCTTAACCTGCTGTGCCTAAATCCCCAAACCTAAAATAATATTTTTAATTTGAGGTAAAAGGACATGAAGATGACTCCTGTACTGAAGTATAATACGTAGAACACTAGTTATTATGGATGTGAAGAATTCATCTTTTAGAAATAGTGTTAAACTTTTCACGTGTACTAGCTTAATCCCAACAATATGGTCAAGTTGTTGTAAAGAAAAAGAAACCAGGGCTTAAGTGATAAGTAACTTGACAAAGGCCTCACTGTTTTAAAGGACAGCTGGGATTGAGCTCAATAGCCAAACTCAGGGTTTGTGTTCAGCCACTGAGCAACACTTTTTGTCTGAAGAGGATAAAAACCAACAGTCAAATCCCTTGCAGAGAATAATTATCCTGGAGTCTATTATGTTTCTCATCAAGATGTTTTCCATGAAGAATTTACTAATTCATAGAGTATATATTTCAATTAGGGTGACTGGATGCATAGTTAAGGCCAGGATTCCCATCCTTATGTTTAATGTATTTTTAATCGTTATTCTAAAAGTGAAAAAAGGCCTTTGAGAGAAAGAAGGGGAAACCAAGGGAAATTAAATATGTCTTACATATTTTGTCATCAGATACCACAGCTGATGGAAAAAAATGCATTCTGATGGGAGATGCCAATTCAGCCATATTCATGGCCTATGGAGGAGTTTCAAAGAAAGAGTTCTTTGGCCACATCATGTTTGTCTTACAGGGTGCGCTACATAACATTCTGAGCTTTCAAAGTGAGGGATAAGTGGTGATCTTTCTAGAATTTTCATTGCTACAGTTGATGCATTTTTGCCCTGCCTCAGATCAACGATGTTCAGGGCCACAGCTAGGTGCCACAAACATGACTGTCATGGAAAACAGTAGTTGTTTCTCCAAAGGGTTCCAAGTCAATACAGTTTCAGTCAAAGCATACACAGTTCTGCAGGCAGGGATACAATCACAAACCCTTTGCTTCTCTCTCTGTCCCTCAAAATAAGAGTAGCAAGTTGTTGCCCTGTTCATAACTTTCAGTGGAAAGAAAAAGAAAGAGGCCTCAGAAACTCATACTAATGGGAAACAGGCACAGGGAACAAATGGCATACATCTAAAGCCAGGCTTGTCCCTGGCAGATAAAAACATTTTGAAGGAAAGATTCTAGAAGGAGCAGTGGAAAGGGCAGACATTATTCTTTTCCCATTTTATAGACCCATTTTTGCCTTCAAAAAGGTATTTGTGAATGGCAAAGATGAACATATTTGTAACCTGGGATCCTCTAAGAGGCTCTTCAGAGGCCTGGTTAGGAGCAAATGGATCTGGTCCCTTTCATCTACTTTGACTTCTCTTGTTCTGCTGTGAGTGTGAGGGGTTATGAATGTACTAATAGCAAGAGGGCATGGTTCTCGGAGATGCAAGAAATAAGCTGCATCTTAATGCAAATACACTTAGGGCTGGAGCAACATTTAAAAGCTATCCTGGATAATGAAAACCTTTCATAGGAGGTTTCTAGGGAAAACACACAATAGATGAAGGAACATATTACTTTTTTTCTTTCAAAAATCCTCTTAAGAATCTATGATCAAGGTCCATTTGTGTTCTGAAGTGCTCAGAGCCTCATGAAAGCAGAGAGGGATGAGCAGTTAGTCTCCCAACTCCAGCCCGGTTCTTCCACTGTTTCCCTGTGACTGGACAAGTGCACAGAATCCTGCACTGGAAGGAGACCCAGGACTCAGTTTACAGGCTTGGGGGTGCTGGGGCAGTCTCTTTTCTTAAAAAACAAACAAAAAACCCAAGGGTCTCAAGTAGCTTATTTAAAATGGACATGGCAATATGCATATTAGGTAATTGAGGTCCCCTTTTTAATCAATGTTGAGAATATGATAGATAAGTTCTTAAAAATTCTTCATGGCTGAAGAGAAGGGTTCCTTTTCTCCCCACTTTCATGTTCCCATTATCATGTGAA